GTTCTGCCCTGATGTTTAAGTTGCCTACAACTAAAGGCATGGTCGTGTGCAAGTTTAAGTTTTGCCAAAGCAAAGTGTATTTTTATATTTTGTAACCTTGTGTATTGATTTATGCAGTTCATGTTCAAATTTGATAATGTTCTAATAAACATTTGAGTTAAATATTTTTGTGTTCATTTAAAGCACACATGCAAACATTAAAAAATATCAAATTTATTTTGTTTGTTTTTCTAGAAAAGATTGCACATGCACACCCACACAATAATTTGTAACCACCAATATAGGCTGATATTTCTTATCATAAAGCTAGCACACAATTGCAGACTTTTAAAACAATATGGTCTTCAAGACACCATGGGGAAAGCTTGCACTGTTTGATTATAAAGTTAAATGTACAAAAAAGGCAGTTTGAAAATCAAGTATAAACATTTAAAAACAATTTTACAAATGGACAAAGTACAAAAAGAGCAACAGTCACTCGAAATGAATAGAAGCAATGGTCCATACATAGGAAAGATGAACGTCAGCTTACAGCAGGTTAACAAGGCTGTCCGGACGAGAATTGTACAGAAAGTATTACAGAATGTTTTGCATACATTCTTTTTTGGCAGTTTCAGTTCAACTCTAGTTATAGAAAAAATAGGCTAGATTTTCAGATACATGAGGATGAGGTGAGGAAATAAAGATGGACTGTTTCATTTCACGCACTAAGACGGACATCTGCACAATCCTTTTGGGCAGCTTTGAAAAATACATTGGCTTTCAATTCACCATACATTCACTACTTACTCTACATTAAGGTGTAGATATATTTATTGATATACAGTTCTTGTATCCTGCACCAACCTAAATCGGGACACTGAACAGGCATCAACAGACAGATTGGCTTGAATAAACATTTTTGAGATCTAATAAATGTTGGGTAAGAAGGGTTAGGGCAGCGTAGAGGTAGCCTTGTGTCTCACTGTTAACAGAAACCTTTAGTCTTCTAGTGAAGCTCCAAAGTGTTGCATGTTATTAAAATGCAGTACGATAACAGGGATTTGTTGATGCTATACCACAAAGATCAACTTCCATTTATTTGATCTGTTAATGTAATATAGTTTTCTCTGTAGAGTAGTCATTGTTTTAAACCAGATGTGCGTCAGTGTGGCATTAAAAACAGTTACCTAAAAAACAAGTCAATTTACTCAGCCTCAACATTTGGGATGCAGAGAGAATTTGTTTAATCTATTTTCTAAAATGAAAAGTCTTGACCGTGATAGACATCGTCCCCACAGGAGTCTTGGACAGTTACATGTGAGCTCTGGTCCTAATGGAAACCCCGCACATCACAGGTCAGGATCAACATGTTTATGTGAAGGTACCGATGTAAATGAATAGAATGCGTGGACCTGGGCACTACTGGGCACTACTAACTAACCATTGTGCGATTATAAGGCAAATACATGAAGGTTGGATCTACTAGGCATTTCCATTCAGGCTGCAGAGATCCTGTAGTAGGAACAGCATGTGCTTCCTTTTCTTTTAAGGTTTTTTTGGGGGCGTGACATTTCTTCTATCACAGCTGTTGAGCTAGGGCAGAAGCGTAGGAGTTAATTCTGCTGATTTGTCACAGTACACTGCACAGCCATGCTGTAGTGTAGTACTGCATGCTCTCTCAGGGGTCAGGAGGGAATGTGCTGAAGTAAAGCATGCAAACCTTTCATACATTTTATGCAACTGGCTGTGTGGAATAACTGTCTTTCTTCGGATTGAAAACTGAACACCCATGTTAAATTGATCCCTCTGGGTTTGATTGACATTCTGATTTCTGCACACAGACACAGCTAGGACTCTTAATGTGATACGTTTGGTAACTCACAATGTGCAGACTGCCCGGCCGTGTCTCTGTCAGCAAACATCAGTCAGACTTGGAGGTAAGATACAGAATACTATACCGGCCGACACAACGAGGTCTCAGGATCATAATATGAAATGTGGTATTGAAAATATGTAGTTAACAAAATACAAATATTCTAGTATACGATGGATGTACAAGAATAAAGCATTTGCTAAGCTTTTCTTTTTTTAAAACACTACAAGGAAGTATGTGGAGAAATTATTTTACAGCGCCAAGTCCTTGCAACAGTGTCTTTCCTTTGGAGAGCAGTCCTTTTTTTCCTTTGGAGGAGTACAGGCTGGCCGGGCCGGAGCCGGGGGGGTGCGGGCGCTCTGTGGGAGGGCCAGCTCTTCCGGGCCGACCCGAGTTTTCCAGTGGAACCTAATGGAAGACCCGTAAGGGACAGTTGAGGGTGTTAAAAAGTCAGCCGTCTCTCCCCCCTCAGTCACTACTCCCCGACTCCTAAGTCCTCTCTGCCTCAGCAGGGCCACCACAGATCTGAAGTCTACCTCCCTGGACGTTGTCCCGTGCACTCAGGTAAAGATACACTGCCCCCTCCCTCCTCCCTCCTCCCTCTATCAGGGAGAATCAGCATTTTTTTTTTTATGAAGCTGCCAGGAATTAGCTACAACAACACAAAATGTAAGCATGACACTAACAGACTAACTTTCACATTATTTTGTCGACAACATTTCCCCAACAATAAATATCAAGGATAGGGCAAATCCTCTCACTTCAACACATTTGCATTTTGGGAAAAGTGGGACATGTTTACATCACATTCACTGTCCTTCCCCTTAAATATGGATATTTACTGGTACAACTGGGTCACAGAGAAACTACTAGTCACTATTCCTTTTCTGTAATCATGAGCTAAAAGGCTCCTTTAAATTGCACTTTGGAAAGACAGATGGTCAAAGATTCCATTTATATAAACATGTGGTTAAAACACCAGAACATGTAACGTATCAAAATCTTTTGTATTTCATTATGCTGACTTTAAAGCGGGACTGTTAAAAACAAAACATGCCTACACTTGCATATAAAGAGTTGTATTCACCTTATGGTGGCTACTGTTAGCAGTAAATTAGGTAGGTTGGTAGTTATTGCTGTAAAACAAACACAACTGTCAGATTTCTAAATGCTGAACATGAGTGTAGCAATTCAGCATAATCTGACTCATTTGTAACCGTTAGTCCGCTAAAATGTTATAGTCACGCTTTAATTCAATAATGATCCGTTGGCAATTTACTGTGATAGTTACTCTTGGTTCACAGCATTAGCACTGTTTTAAACTTCAATGCTTACGGATTGGATAAACATGGACTGTTATTATATTTGCATAAAGTAATTTGTCTTACCATTTCACATTATTCTTTGCATACAAGAAAACAATCCCAAATTACTTTTGAACTGCAAATCCAAATTCAATATTTTCATGGTATCATTCTTTGGAGTTTTGCATAGAATTTGAGGGTTTTCTGCACTGGGAGTAGTCTTAAGTACTACTCATTTAGAAATGATTTTGAATAAGTGCGTGTAATTGTGAAACTACGGCCTTTTAGCTTACCATGAGTTACAGCAGGAGACTTATTGCAGGAGACGAACATTGTCATGTACAACACTCAGAGAAACAACTGAAGATACCATACTTCTTGTCTAATGCATTGGCTGGGGTGACGGTCGCCTACCAACAAACAGTATTGAGGGTTGAGGTGAAACAAAGAGGGATCTAAGACTACCCAAAGGCATGGCAGCACTGAAGGAATGTCAGATAAAAAACACATGTTGCATACCAGACGCTAAGGGTACCCTTGACATCTGCATTAGACGAGGGGAGCGTAATCTTGGTATCCTCAGTTGCTCACTTACGTGACGGAAACAGAGCCTTTAAGGTGTGAAATGAACACTCTTCTTCTGTTTTGCCAAGCGGGTGAGAAAAAGGAATAAAACAAAATATGGTGATGGCATTTCAATAGTTTGCACTATGACAAATGGCAAATTAGAACACAAGGAAAGAAATATCTGATGACACCTACTATTCATATTTCAACAATTGCATTATTTGTTAAACACAAAAACAACATCACATATTTACATTTAGTAAATCATTACTTCTGAAATTATTCTCTGATGGCAACATAGGCTAAGTGACCTTTGCGTGCTACTTTACAAGAAAGCAATATACAAAACAAGGCGTTCAGGAGCAGATACAAAAGTTGTACTACACTAGACTCTTCTTTTTAGAAAATGTTCAAGAATTCATGCATCTGGAATATAGGACATGCTGAGCTACAGACTACATAGTTCATCTTTCAGTACAACAAAACTATTTACTCTATTATAAATGATTTGAGATCAGACACAGAATATATTCATAAAGCATCTGTTAGAATGCTAAATATGCATGTGCAAAAAGTGTTAACTGCTCCTTTTCAAGACATGACAGAACAAGTAAAAAGTCACTCTCATTGAGAATGCTTTATGAATACAATATATCCATGTGTTATACAATGCACAACCCCCCCCCCCCCTTTCACAGCGGTAAACATGAAAAATAAAAGTACCTCTGTCAAGTATTAGTCTTAAAATTTTATTTTTTCATAGATCTTAGACATCTATTTATTTACAGTGTAATGCTCCAAAGTCAGAAATCCCATTGTACTTCAATGAGACACACACGCACAGACACGGTACTAAAAGAGATAGAGGGAACTGAAAATGGATGACAGAGGGCTAGTACTGCGAAGGAGCATGTACCCTTTTGGTCTTTATCCGTGCAGGAGTGTCCTGGGGGTATCGAGATGGTGAGTCAGTGAGAAAAACCTCCACATCGTCAGGCACTTCTTCTAGAAAGTTGGAAGGAACTAGTCCCTTGTGTCCATTGAGCTCGCCCTGAGAAGCACACAAGGACAGTGAAACACATCTGAGTTTAGCTTTCAACGAAGGTTTCTCATTTCTCTAATTTCCCCTCGAGCGCCGAGGAGGCTCTCTGGAGGAGCTATAACCGAGGAAACATGGTG